AGCGCTATAGACCAGACGAAGTATCTCCTATCTTCAAACACCCACGTCACTGTTGACAGTTATAATTTCGAGAAAGTAGAGAATTTCGTTTACTTGGGAACCCGTATTAACGCCGATAGCATCGAAATCCAACACAGAATCACTCTTGCCAACAAGTGCTACTTTGGGCTGAGTAGGCAAGTTAGGAGTAAAGTCCTCTCTCGACAATGACAACATTCGATGAGGCGGCTCTTGGAGTATTCGAGAGAAAGATTTAGCGTAAGATTTACGGGCCTTTACGCGTTGGCGACGGCGAGTACCGCAAACGATGAAACGATGTTCATATGAGCTTTACAACGACATGGGCATAGTGCAGCGAATTTGAAGTCAGCGGCTCCGCTGGCTTGCCATGCCGTTCGAATGAACACCGAACCTGCCTCTAACTTTTCTATAACTACGGGCCATAGTTTTTAAAGCTCCATTTTACGTGGCGCGGTATGCTATTTTTTTTTTTTTTTAATTTAATTCTCAACCGACACTTACTTTAACATATGTACATATGTATGTATGTATGTTCGAACGTCCGAAGTGTTGGGTGAATAAAATACCTACATACGACATCCATATTTGCATATGCCTTTCTGTTACTCGACAATAACCAACTGGCCTGACCCCACCCTAGTGCCCACTGCCTGCACATTTATGATTTGAAATTTCAGCTTAAACTGTACAGTTGTAGCAAAACAGAAACAGATCTATGCATATTCCATTTCCGATTTCGCCAAGCATAGTCAAAGTTGCTGCTCCGCGCTTTTTTCCCTTCCGTTTTCATTGCAACCATGGAATGTGTCCTCATCTACATATGGATGTATTTATATTCACATCTGCATACATATTTATGCATACTCATGTGCGTGTGTGTGGTGGAATAGGTTCCCTACAAGACAGCTGAGTATCATATGAGTACTCATATTATCATTACCCCTAATCACAAAAGTGCTTATCAAAGTCCTCATTTTCGTTCAGGCCATGGGAAAAAATTGAGTACTTTCCCCTCAATGTTGTCATCAGAAAGTCCTCAGTACTAATAGTCAAACTACTCATTTATGCCGTACTACAAAAACAAAAGTGTAAATGTGTGAGAATTTTTGCCTAAAGTGCTCAGCAATGTCTTGTAGGGTTGCACTTTCCAAATAAACACATAGGAAAGAATAGTGAAAAAACCGTTGTGTTCATAGTCCAGCAATAAATGCTCCAGTTGAAACTATTGTTTCCCAAAGTCAAAACACAAATAAAAAAGTCTAAGCGAATAGCAGCAGGATATATGTATGTATGTTGGGGAACAACAACAATCAAAATGCATAGAATGAATGTATGTAGGGAAGAGCAGATGCGGAGTTCCGAATAGCAGCTTGGAAAACATGGCGAACAGCTGCGGAAGTGGCTTTTATCTCAGTAAATTGAAATGGAAATGGCAAAGGACGCCGCTAGAACAGTGAATGAACGCAAAAGACATACGACAAGTCACCATAGATAGTTACCAAGATGTACTGTTTGAATTTGAATCGCTAGCGGTCGCCCACTAGCTGTGGACGTGTTAATGAAAGATAACAATAACAGATTCTTTCAGTGCAATGGACAAATATGCAGTATGTATCTACCTGCTACAGTAAATTGCCTGTTGAAGCTCGGAACCTGGAGTGGCCGAAGAATGAAGCTTTAAGGAGACTTATGCCGTAGTAGCAGATTGGTCGATAGTTTCCTCTCTGCTGTAGGAACAAACGAGACATGTAAATGCATTTTTCGTAAACGGACAAAGGCATGTAAAAGCTATTTTAAGTAGCATACTGTCCCTTGAAAAGTCGATTTTGGAAGCTTCTCGATTGTGCATTTTTTTTATTCAGTGTGAGATACTAAACAAACATAGCGGTATTATACAGATAATTTTATTACTTTGAAATAGACAAGAATTGAATAAGATTTGTGACTGGATTAATTTGAGTAAATACATATTTACATTAGACTGCATCACTCCCCATACAAAATTAAAAAAAATCGGATACTGTTTTTCCATTGGAATTATAAAATCCGTTGTATTTTAAGACGTCCACCAAAATATTTCGGAAAAATAATAAGATTTAAGCGAGCTGGACCTATTTGAAAATACCTCCAAAAATGGAGTTTTTTATGAATAAAAATATTTTCTTAAATATGTGTTTTGAAAAAATCCCCTCAAATAACCAAACGGTCTAAGCTTAAAAACTTTACATAAAAATAAAATAAAAAATAAAATTTTTGAACGGAATCGTAATAATGAGAATTTTGATGCTGGTTTTAACTTTTTTCAAAGATTGGTATTAGAAAAACTTGAATAACTGAACTTAAACTCTTCCGATTTAGACTTGTGAGGTATAATTGGAAAGATATTTTCTCACCCTTTTTAACCCTTTTTATTTCTTTGCTAATAAGCTCATTCAAAGGATGAAAGAGAAAGGTAGAATGAACGAACATCATACAAAGTTAAATTTAGATGTGTTGATATTTGAAAAAAAAAATTGGGACACCAATGACTTTATTTTGCACAAAAATAAAAATTGTCGGAAAATACCTTTCTACCGAGATCCCATAAGTCTAAATCAGAATAGTTTTGGCCCAGTTATTTAAGTTTTTCGTAAATCAATCTTTGAAAAAAGTAAAAATAACAGCATCAAAAATCTCATTATTACGATTCCGTTGAAAAGATTTTTAAATCTTTTTATGCAGATTTTTTAAGCCTAATCTGGTTTGTCATCCGAGGGGACTTTTTTCAAAAAGTTCTTTAAGAAACTATTTTTATTCATAAAAAAACTCCATTTTTGGAGGAATTTTCAAATCGGTCCAGCTCACTTAAATCTTAATATTTTTCCCAAATATTTTGGTGAACGTCTTAAAATATAATAAATTTTGTTATCCCGGCGGAAAAACAGCAATTTTTTTTGGTGATGCACTCTAATGTACATACATACAAATTTCATTTGCAACTTTAATTTTTACCACAATTAAAACAAACATTTAAACGAATAGCTTCGAAGAAACTGCCCGGTGGCACATCAAATGCAAGTTTATCAGCCAGTTAAAATATACATAATTGACACAATTTTGTTCAGAAAATTTGTAATTTAAAATTTTAACAGTCTGATAAATTTTGAAATTGAACAAAATTTGTCTTTAAAGGGCAGATAAATTTTAAAACCTGTTTAAGAAAACGACTGTAAAAGCATGTAAACGACGCAAAATTTGTCTTCAGATTGACGAGGGCTCGAACCGTCGACAAGTGTAGAAAGCGTAAAAATAATCTTATTTGCGATTATATAACTCAAACAAACGCACCTATTTTGATGAGAATTTTCTCTCTTAGGGTGAATAACTATAATGTAGAGCCAACTTCAAGGTAATAGCGACGATTTCACGATTGCAGAAATCTTTATCGGCATTGCTTTCTTTTTATTTTTTACCGCAGTGTGTGCTTCCTTCAGTGCATGAAAAACATTCACATACCCTACCCAGGTAGTTACCTAACCCGAGTAATACCCGATTTGGCCAGACATCTAAGCGCTAGTTTATATATTTAGTTAAAGCAGAAATACTTCCCAGCTGCTGTAATGTTTTCGGGAATTTGCCTAATTCTAGATATTGTCCTTCATTTATAAAATCTGTTTAGCAGCCATTGCACTTATAATTCTGAAGGACGTCCGCTCGATTAAGACTACATCAGTTGAAAAGTGGTTTAAAGAAACATTCAATTTGGCTATGTTTTTTTTTTTTAAGTTCTGTACGAAATTATGATTTTTTTGATAATTTTTTTTTGACAAACAATATATTTTCATGCAAAACAAAAGGAAATTTAGCTATTGGCAACACATACTACTGTCGTACATATGCAGCTATGGAAAAAAAACCTTCACCAATTATTAAAAAAAATTTAAAAAACATATTGCATATATACTATACAAACATATTAATGATAAAACTTGGGTGTCTGTACAAATTGTTTGCTATGTTCATAAGTATGTATGTATGTCCTGACCAGAACAAACACACCAACGCCGTGAATAAACTTTAAAATATGTAGCGGAAACTTAGCAACAAATGCGTATCTGTGAAATGATGAAATTAACTGGAAAAGCAAAGCTACAAATAAATCTGGCTCAACAGTTGAGTGCAACAACATCATTTCTCCATTACACATACCTATAATTTATAAATGTATGTGTGTGTGTCTATCATAATTTACAATTTTGTGTGACTACTATAGGCTTTGGTTATTATTTATTATATTGTAATTTCATTATATATTTTTCATTCATACATATTATAAGTATACAATAAATAAGTCGTTTGTACGGGAAAACATTACAACTCAATTCACAAGCCCGCTCCAAATTCAAGAACTAAAACCAAAACCAAATCTGAAACTGAAACCGAAAACCAAAGTAGATGCATGACAGTCACCCCTAAAGTATGCTATGCTTGATGCGGGTACAATTTCATATATGCGTTATACAGTTATAATACAATTACAGTTACAAATACGAGTAATGAAAAAGTTATGCGGGGGATGCAGTTTTTTGTTGTTGCAGTGGCAAAATATATAGCCGCAGCAGCATTTTAGGCGCTAGTAAAAAGGACACAACACGAGTAATGCCATTCCATTCCATTCCATATCATTCCATTCCATTTAATTTTTAATCAATTCAATTTTAATTCAACTGGATTTTATATATATATATATACATATATATAGTATATATCCATATATATATGTATGTATGTAGTAGTAGTAGTAGTAGTAGCTAAGTACGAATACGAATAGTTTACATGAGCACGAGCGTGGATGCAAAGAGAACTTGCGTACTAGTACGTGGATGTGTGACAGGTGACAGGTGTGGCATAAGGCATCATCTGCGGCAGGCAGGCACTTGGCCGATGCGCGCACAGCAATGCCTTGTGCGATTCTTTGCTATTATAGCAACAACACTCACTATAACAATACTTTGCGGTTGCGGCTGCGGTTGCGGCTGCGGCTGCGACTGGGCCTGCGAAGACGCCAGCGTCAAATTTGGCGTCGGAGTCAGAGTCGGAGTCGTTGCCGGCGTCAGTGGCTGTGACTGCGGGGGTTGCTGTTGTGTCTGCTGCAGGTGCATTTGGTGGCTGAAGTGAGGATGAGATCGGTGATGCTGCAGCATTTGCAACTGTTGTTGCTGGTGCAGCTGGTGCTGGTGCTGGTGCTGTTGGTGTTTGTGCTCAAGACCATTCATGGCGGCGGCCGACAGCCCATTGCTAAGCGCGATCCCAAGGCCGCCATTGTGTTGTTGCGCAGGAACGCCGCCTAGCAGAGGCGAATTCACGATACCCGCTGTCGTCGTAGTTGTTGCTGTGGCCGCTGCGATGGATGTGTTGTTGCAGCCGTTGAACTGTGATGATGCCGTTGGCAGATTTGTCTGCGGGAGAATTGGGTTGAACGTTTATTCAGTTTTAGCATTTATGTCAGATTTAAAAGTTTCATTGAACTGATTTCTACTTCTTGTGTTTTTTTTTGTTTTTTTTTTTGCATCATTAGAATAAGAAAATCAATTATTTTTAGAATTGCCTTCGAACTACACCAACACCAACAATTCGTTATATCAAAGTTAAATACAAAAGCTAAAATGTTTATTGCATTTTTTAATTGTTTATTCATATATGCGATTACACCAATATACATACATAAATGTTTCGATGGGTGTGGCATGCGTGGCACTTTGCTTATCACTAACCGAACTACCCGCTAAGCAGCTAATCCGTTCAACAATGGCCAACAGCAGTGGAAAAAGGGAGTCTCCGCTTATCAGCAGCGACATTGGAATTTGCAACTGTTGAAGGTTATCGGACACCGAGTGATCCGAGTCACTTTAGGAGATAAACGAAACAACGAACGAATATGGCATTCGAACTTGCATTGTTGTTATGCGAAAATATTGAAATAAGTATGTGAATTTGAACAAGTGGACCTATACATATATACATTTGTATGTATTTACATAGATCTATAAGCATCCCTGCAGGAAACTGGGCCAGTTTATAGCTAACTTATAACTACCCAGCAGTCGACTAGTTTTAGCCTTTTTTTACTTATTTTCCTCGGCCGTGACTAACTACTTTTGAAGGGCGATGGCCAAAATTTAGAACTGGTTAGCTAACTTGTAGTTACCTTCTTTTGGACGTAAAATATCAATAAAAAAGATTTCTTTTAATTTTTTATTTATTTACTTTGTTTAACTTTGCAAGTTTGCTTATTTGTTTACGTATTCTTTTGTAGGTGGTCCCATATTTGAATTCCATCAGACATATAACATCAAAATGATAATATGAAATTTCGATCTTTATACTATTTGTCCTGCATTCGAGAAAACATCGTTGAAGTGCAGAAAAAAAGAGCATTCAAAGTAATTTTTGTATGAGCATATTTAAATAGAAGCTTGTTTAAGGAAAACAAACTGCCGGTAACGTCTGCATGACTCCTGCAGGACTTTCCAACTCACTTAAATTTAGTTTTGTCATAGCTAATTAAAAGTTAGGCATTTATCGAAATCCCGAATAACAGCTAAAACTATAAGTAGGCTATTTTTTATCAATTGATAATTTTTTTCTGCAGGGATATGCATATATGTGTACCTACAAATTGCATAAATGTCATTATTAAGAGTAACGCTTGAGAACGGCTACAGCGACTTGGCTGATATTAGCTTTAAACTATTCGTGGCAATTCGAATTGGAAAAGTTGCATGGAAAATAGCAGCTCTCATTGAGATCTTACAACTGCAGTATTCTCACATCAAGCAAATTATCCCGTTACCACTTGGGTTTACATATATGTATATGCACGGGTTTATTTAACACTTAATTTCTTTGAAGCCCATCGACTTTCGAAATTACATAGTTTAAAGAAGTTTCCACTGCTGGTTGGCTTGTAGAAATCGTTGGGATGAGCATTTCACTTTCAAAAATTTACGATTCTATGAATATGATGTCAACAATTACAAATAAGAAATTCGCCTTTCATTATAGATATGTAGTTATATAACACCGTGCGACATAAACCAAAAAATTTCAAAACACACAAGACAATCAATATACATACGCACGAAACCAGAAGCCACGTATAGTAAAACCTCGAAATTCGAGGATTAGTCCTTAACATATACATACATACATATCGAGCCCTAACCGCCAAAATAACGTAAGCGACACTTTTTTCAAAATTTTCTTTTTGATGCAGAAATATTCGTAGAGCATCTAGATGCATTTCTGCATCAAAAAGAAAATTTTGAAAAAAAATCGCTTACGTTATTTTGGCGGTTGGGGCTCGATATGTAGTAATGCTTCATAGGTCTTTAATGAATTCTACAGAATTTTCTCTTTTATTTGGCACCCATATTGTTATGCAACATTGCACTAAAATTTTAAAATAATTTTTTACAATATTCGGCCCCTAATTTCGCGCGTACGTTGATTTCTGTGTGGTAAAAAAAATGACTGTCGCACTGTGTACTAGAATAATGCTTACGAATACTTCTTATGCTATAAAGACAGACACCTGGATTCGTTAAATTAGTCGCTAATAAATACGTACAGAAGTTTTTAACTGTAACTTATACTTTGAATAAAAAAGCAAAAAAAAAAAATGCTGAATTAGCCGCATGCAAACCTTCTTTACAACATTTTTGTGATGGACATGTGAAAAAATATTTTTTGGTGGTAGATATTATGGAGAATGTACAATGTTTGAGCAAGTGCTAAAGTAAGTAAATAAAAATACAAATGTATGTATGTATGTATGTATGTTGATTCATCAGGATTATAAAAGAGGGGGCTCTTCATTTCGATTAAGTTTTTTCTAAGCAGACACAAAATCGGAATCAATATTCAAAAACCGGGCAAGTAGTTTTGAATTTGCTTTCCAGCGACATACAAGCGAGCCAGTTGTCAGACAGCGGAACGAGAATTGCTGATTTATTCTAAATATTTCTTTCACAAAGAAACGATTTCTCCGGCTGGAGGTTTTTATCCAAACAACTAATACACAAATACTTACTTGTTTTGCCCAGCTTTAAATCTAATTCAAATAAAAACATACATCAAGGCGCTCTACCTCACTCACTCACGCCTATTTATAGAAATATACGTAAGCATGTATTTGGTGGTGTGAGTGAAAAGCGATCAAAGGTGGCAGATATTAGTTTCGAGTGGTCATGCAATGTACTATTTATGTCCGTGCAATTAAGGTTATTCGGTGGTGTATATTTACAGGCGCACAGGCGCACAGTAGCTCAACTCGCCCACTTCGTTCTCAAAGCACACTCACCAGGGTTGGGCACATTCACGCATGCACATTAACGAAGCTGCCCCACACTTACCTTCTTCTGTTGCATGTACATCTGTATGGCAGCGGCCGATGTGGCTGCATTTGCGGCAGCTGAAGCGGCAGTTCCACCTTCGGGCTTCATTTGTGACACGGACTCAGTTTTGATGGCCGCCACTGCCATTGAGAGGCTGTCCGGGTTGGTGGTGCCCACCTGTGCCCCGGCCGGTGGGTAGCCAGCCGGAGCGCCTGGATATGGCGCAACGCCGGCCTGAACCACGTGCTGCAAGCGGAAGGAAAAAAGAGAAAGAAAATCGTTAGCCAATGTTGATTATTAAGTGTACTTCGGGATGAAATGTAATCGAATATGATAAATAAATAAATAAATAAATAAATAAATACAATTGTGCACGAAATTACAAGTTCCGATACATGGCGTGGACGTCGCCACCAATGCACCCAACCAGCAGCGGAAAATTTCAATTGCGATGCGTAATCGGGACTTCGGCGCTTCAAATCCGCTTTAAACGCGCCTGCAGATTTAATAAAGGCTATGATTTAAAACGGAAAACTGGTTAAAATAAAATGAATGAAATGAGAACTGACATCCGCGCGCTTTCCCTTTGGGCCATCTACATCCGTTAACGCACAACGGGAGGGAACACGGCGGCGCACTTGTTGGGGCGATTGTCGAAACGCGAAACCAATTCTCGGCTGCGCGACAATCCACAGCTCCCATCCGGTTCACCTTTGTGTGCGTTTCATAAACTATTAAAAACTTCCATTGTAATGAAATACAATTTTCTTCCATTAAGGCGCGCTCTGTTGGGCCGGCCATCTGCCCACGCGATTGCGACCTACATACATACATACATACATACATACTTCCAGTGGCAGCGGGGAGGAGTGCATTGCTTGTCAATCAGCGATGCTGTGACAATTCTCCCTCACAATGCGGGCTCTTTTTGTGTGCATTGCGGAGGAGATCTTGAGCAATGATGCCGGGCGTACGCGAATTACCGTAGGAAATTTTCTACAGTTTCCCAAAGAAAATTTCCATATTTATGCTGATGAGAGTTTTAAAAAATGTGCTGTTGATCCAAGAGTATATTTAGTAGCGAACAAATTGATGCGCTAAAGAATACTTGCGCTCAAAATTTAAATTTACAATGGCTCTTAAGAGAAAATTCGATTTTTCATAATACATGCATACATATGGGCATTTCCATGGTCAAAAACGCGACATTCGTAAGCCTTTGAGGTGCAAAAAAAATAAACTAACCTCCAATTATAGGTTGATTTTTTTTATGTTTCGATAGCATTTAAGAAGCCATATGTTTTCTAAAAAAGGTAAAAACTGTAGATTTTTCGTCTCCAATACATTGGCAAAAAACGTGGGATCAAGAATGCGACAAGAAATGGAAATCGTTCTCTACTGCATCTAGAAATCTGCGAAACGGAACACAAAAATTTAAAGCCGTTTATTTTAAACTAAAAGGACCTTTCTAATGATAGTTGTCATATATTTGCATTCACTTTTTTTTAGCTTAATTTGTTTTTGGGCCCTTGTTTGTGATGTGGTTTTAACAAGGCTTGCACACCGTTTCTCTCCATTTTATGCAATCTGAGTTACGTAAACGGTGTGAAATGTGCCTGGGGTGATGGAAGATCCCACTGCTCTTGCATTTGAGTGGAGTTAAAAAAATTAGTTGCGGCTCCGTTTTTAATTTGATTTCGGGGTTTTTTTTACCCCATAATTTTCACACTTACGTACGATTTATTTTGACATTTTTAATGTTATTAAGCGAATTAACTTTTAGCGTTTAAAAAAATACGTAAAAAGCATATCATTAAAAATAATGTTGCACTTGAATTATCAATAACTTACCAATGGTAAATTTAATGCAAAAAACGATTTAATTTTTTAATCACGAATATGCTTTCGACCTCCTTGTTCAGGTGCGCTTAAACGAATATGCACCGGTTTTAGTAAAATATTTACAGTACCATGACTTCTTAAATATTACAACAACAACGACAACAAATTGTTGCTTACAATATAAACTGCCGATAGTTTGAGGAAAAATATAAGCTAGAATTTGTTGTGAGTAATCCTTCGAGGAAGAATACCATTTTAATAATTTTAAAAACTCTTTTCCGATTTAAAATATATATGTACATATGTATATGGGCGACTCCAGCGAAAACTCCACAGCAAAAAAAAAAATTAAAAGTCCTATATCTAAGTTATTTATAGGCCGATTTGGCTGCTTTTTGTAATATGTATATATTGGTTATGTAAGCAGAAAAGTGTTCGCCAAAAATGGTCCCGTTAGGTGTGTCAAATAAAAAGTATACTCCGACATAAAATGCACATTATCTTCGCGTTAAAAATTCGTGCAAAAACAATATTAACAAAACTTTTTCAACGGAAATTTTAGTAACGTAATGTCAGGTAACGTCACGTCAAATAGATCAGTTGATTAAACAAAAATTATTAATTTATTAAATTATTTCTGTAATTTTTCTGGTTGTATCGCGTATTTGAGATCAAAAACGTCGCCTTGTTTTAAGAGAAATTTTATCGTCTTTGTATAATAAATATTTACGAGAAATATATTTTTTTTTCGTCTCTCGGGACGATTATTTTCAGATGGAAATTATTTACCTCTTTTCATAATAATTATATGGAATTTTTATTTATTTTTCGTCTCTAGGGACGCTTATATTCAAGACGGAAATGATTTACGTCTGCTCATAATAAGTATGTGGGACTTTTGTGTTTCTCGTCTCTCGTGACGTTTATTTTAAGGCTATCTGAACACTTGTCGTCCAATCAAAGTTGGGTTATCGTCTCACCCTGAAATTTTGAGCCGAGCACATGTATTTCAAAAGAGATCTGCACACTTGTCGTTATCGGCTAGTTATCGGCAGATCGTGGAAGACGCAGAAACGGATAAGTACGACACCGTCGTTTGCTAATCGTTGTGCACGCATTGTTTGGTTACATTTTATGGGGACAAGTTAGTGAAAAAGTTAATATTTGCATTAAAATTATTTTTTTTTTTCATAAAATCTGTGGAAATTGTTAAAAAATGGATAATTGCATAAAAATTCAATAAATGTGGGCGTTTTAACTATAAAATATGACGACATTGTAAAAAGTCTCTGCGTGCATGCACAAAACACCTTTCAGGAAAAGATAAGAAGAGATATTACTGAAAAATGATGTCTAGAATTGGTGCAGTACAGTCTATATTTTAAAAATTGCAGCTTTTTGTAAATATTTCGCGAAAATATCGACCAGAAAAACAGAAAATACCTGCTCCAAGTGAATTTTTAGACGCCAAATGAATTGAAATATCCCGACCGAGTCTGCGAAAGTGTAGTCGTCATGTAATCGTTGCATCATGATTGTGACGATGAAGCAACTATGATTGGATTTACGTCCCACGTTTCCCCTTATAGAAACGGTACATATATTACCGATTTCACGGTTATTGGAATTTGATTTGCTAACATCTGGCAACCCTTTTCAAAAAACTAAAACCACGTTAAAGCAAAGCCCTTTAATTTGACACCTCATTTGAGAAGCGAATGAACGATACAGATTTTATGACATTAACAATCATGGCGTTACATATTTAACGCGTCGAATCTCCGACTCAATTGAGAAGATTCATTTCAAGAAAAGCACCATATAATTATTAAGAGAAGACAAATAAAACTGCCATATAATTATTATGAGAAGACGTAAATCATTTTCGTCTTAAAATAATCGTCCCGCGAAACGAAAACAACTTTTCCATTATTCAGTAATAATTATAGAGCAATATTTAATTTTATTTCTTATAATCGTTATAGTCTCTGGTACAATTTGAAATGAAAATCAATCGAAAGTGCGCCCAACCTAATCGAAAAGAAACGAGCTCAACAGCGCCATATCCAGCTCATCATAGACAATTTCTTATTTTCCATTCTTATTAGTTCCAACGCACGCGGGACTGAAGTGAAAGTTCTTTCTATAACCCGTAGCTATGTAGCTCATCATATTATGTGAGTATTTCTTTGCATAATAATGAACAATTGTCTTCATCTGATTCGCAATCTAATTCTTAATCTTAACATTATTATTAATATTAATGCTAATCTTAATCTCGCTCCCATTCTTAATCTTAATATTTATCTCAATCCCAATGCCAATCTGAATCTTAGCCCCAACCCCAATTTGAATCTCCGAAATCTTTATCTTAATGAAAATCTTGATCTTAATCTTGGATCTTACACCAAAAAAAAAAACACCGCTTCTTCTGTCGCTTTTTCGTTTCATTGCAGTTTGAAATTAGAGCCCAACGATTGTGTCGTTTGTTTTTTCCTTGCATCGGTGTTTGAATTTATTCCCAGCCGAACGTAAAGAAGTTTCACTTAAAAAAAAATATATATAATAATTAAAACATTCCACGCTGCAAAACCGTATTATATGCAAAAATTAAGAAAATTTATTATTTAGAGCCTAGTGAAAAAAGAGACTTCGTATGTAGTGTATTTGTTTATATTAATGTACATTAGTGTGCGCCTTATTTGTATGGGGACAATTTTATTTTAAGCTATATAGGCTCGTTTGGTTATAAACGTGCCTGAGACGCGCAAAAGTTGGACAAGTTCATGCAATTTTACATCAATCAAATCAATTTTAATCAGTAAAAAAAAAACATTATTTGTTTCAATGTTACTTAATGTATTTTTACGCGCTAATTTTAAATATGGATACCTTATTTTCACATCACTTCAAGCTTTGAAGTTACAGAGTTAAAAAATAAGGCGCACACTAATGTACATATACAGTAAATTCCACAAAATGTTCTCTCATTCATGTCGATGCACACGTATGTAAGTGCAGGAGTGTTTGTGTGTACACTTCCTTTTACTTATATCAACTGGCCTACGTTAATGGATGCAACGCTGCGCTCCAAATGTAAATTAATGTGGCACATTAATTAGTATCAACGTTGCGCAAACGAACGATGTGCTCGAACTGCAAGGAAACGCTCAGGGACAGGCGAAATACACACCATGAAGGCAGGGAGGGAACTCTGAACATACATATGCCTTAATGGAAGCGAGCCGAAAATGTCTCTCCAGATGCAGCTCCGTCAGAAGGCAAACATTTGGTTCATTTTTCCAGACGAGCTGAATGCGGCCATGCTATTTGTTACTGTGTGATGCATGATGACCACATCGAAGCCCACTACTACATTTCTTGAAACAATCATCAAGAAGCTG